CTCCGACTCAGAAAGAGACGCATTCTCGTGTCTCGAGATGATCGAAAAGGACTTACCGGCATTCAGAACCGGGTATTCGTTGTGACCACGGCGCTGTAGGTCTGTGGGGAGTGCACGACAGGCTGGTTGATGATAATCTGATGCTGATGCTGATGCTGATGCTGATGCTGATGCTGATGCTGGTGCTGTGGCGGATTGTGATGAGGTTGTGGCTGCTGCTGTGGCGGTGGCTGCTGGTGCTGGTGGTGTTGCTGCGGCTGCGAGTGATGTTGCGGGTGATGATGCTGGGACAAGTGGTGGTGTTTCCCCTTGGTCGGCATGCTCATCGCAGGCGTGGGCCTCCCTCGTACGAACTGTCCTTACAAACCTGCGATCTTATGCGGTTCGCACTCATAGGTACGTTATATTCTCACGTATCGAGGGTTCCACGATTACGGCTGACGAGATATCTTATTCGCGATACGGGAAAGATATATATATATATATATATATATATCTGCGTCTTCGAATCGTAGTGCCGTGCGATCGGCAGCGATTTACAGAACGATTGGGCCACAAATGTTTAGTGGCGCGCGCGCGTGCGCGCACGCACTCCCTCGTTCACTCGACGAAAACGATATCGCGTGCACGGAGGGAAGGGACCGCGGCTCACGCGCGTGTATCTTCCACGTATTTTCGTCGCCGTCGCGCGCACTTGTTCTTATCCGTCCGTATATCGGGCGTCCGCGTTGCGCCCCGCCGCGTGACGATCGTTCGTTTTTCGCGGTAATCCTGCGACGTGCCCTCGCGATGTGCCCCCGCGCTTGGCTGCCCACACGCGAAAGAGAAGAACGTTTCGCTTGCGCGCAATCTCTCTTCGCATAATCACGTTCACGTCGGCTAGCCAATTACGGACGGAGCAACGACGCGAGGGAAATCGTACAACTCGCGTGACCACGCCGCCGTCAAGTCGAAGAATATAACGCCGTTACCACGCGTACTCGATCACTCGCTCAATTCTACTACCACCCGACGCAACATTCGTAGGGGAGAATGATCACGTTACGAGCACTCGGCTTTCCTACCGTTCACAGAGACACTAGAAAACAGATGCCTAGGGAATTCCGCCATTTTCGACCGCATGTCGACTCGCGCGATATGCACTAGATTGCCTCAAGAATTTATAGGCCTGTTCTTTTTGGCTGAACTGCTAGTTTACAGTTTATCTTTCTTTCTTACATTGGAAGAAGAAAGATAAACTCTCTGACTAGTGCAGCCAGTTTAGCTAAAAAGAACAGACCCTATGGCATAGGGCTGGTTTATGCTTCGGTCTTAGGCCAGTGTTCATGGTCAATAAATGCAAGTAAAATGAATTATTATCAATGGCATAAAATAGTAATGTTTGGAGCATTACTTTTACTATCAAGTGCTTGTATGGCATATTTCTTATTTTAAAAGCAAGAAAGAAAGAAAACACGGAGATATGCTGTTCGGCCAATGAATCAAAAAAGACATGAAAACATGATATTTTTTTCTTAATTTATTTCTATAATTTGGATTTTTCTTATTCCACACATCACATCAAATTGTTGAAGACATTCAATCAAGAGTACGTTCCTTTATTCACTCCGAGTGCTCATGCTATGATGTAATGGAAGTATACTGCGGCTATTGTTCTGTTTTAGTTTCTTGCGCTTTTTAACTACTTCAAGATTATAAAGCGGAACACAGTTGCAGTTGTTTTCTGAAGCTCCAACTGATAAAAATAATGGCTAGCATATCTAATATTTTAAAAAATATAATTTTATTGTATATATTAAATATAATACATATAAAAATAATAATAATAAATAAATGATAAATAATAAAAAAACTAATAATAATAAATAATTTTATAATATTATATAATATAATAATTTTATTATATTATATTATTTCATATTATACACTTTATTTTCTTCAGCATCAATCAAAGTTATTTCAGTTTCCATAGAAGCAGCCATCTTTGTGCTCTGACTTTACCTCGCTGGTTGCAATAGCCGCAACAGGAAGTACAAAATCAATGACGTCATAGAATTCAAGGCAGTACTTTCGTAGTGCACTGCTCTCTATATCGGAACGCTATTCGTTCTGATAGTATTGAGAGTACCGATAGTATTCGGAGTGAATAAAGGAACGCACCTCAAATTTGCATCCGACATTTTTTCTTCTTATCGCACTTTTTTATCGCGCATGCACATCACGTTTTTTGGAAGGAATTAAGACTTCTTAGGAATTAAGACTTCTTAGGAATTAAGACTTCTAACTCTCGCACACTGAACGCGACGAGCGATGAGCGATGAGCGATGTCCAATTACTTTTTCAAACGTCACATCCGAAAGCAAAACTCTCATTGGACATCGCTCATCGCATTCAGTGTGCGAGAGCCATAATGCTGGATTCAGACCAGCGCGATGACGCGACACGCGATGCGCGATACCCAATGAGCGTATAGCTTCTCGGAAAAGCTGAGTCTATCTCAATTTCTTATGATTTAAGGCTTAAATCACCTATTGTAGACTAGGACTAAAAGTTAAAAATAAAGAATGTTATATGCCATATGGTATTCTTCATTTCCAATTTTTGAGGTTAAGGGCCGCAGCACACACTTCTGCATAAGGCCTAATGCATAATGCATAAAAAAAATTAACCATTAATTTAATTAAATTAATTTAAAAAAAATTAATTTAATTAAAAATTAATTAAAAATTAATTAAAAAATTAACAATCAGAATCTTTTATTTCTATTATGAGGATAGAAATGGAGGAAAATGATTGATTCATTTTCTTATGCGTTTGCATTGTGCGTTATGCAGAAGTGTGTTGCGGCCCTAAGACTAAAGGCCATGGCAAAAAATTTTAGTGATAATCGTAAGATCGTAAGCGAATTGACCAACTACAATCGATTATTTTTAAACTATAAGGAGAAAAATTGGTTCTGATTGGTCAATTTGCTTATAGCTTACAATTACGATTAAAATTTTTCACGTGCAATGACCTAAGACCGAAGCATAAATCAGCTCTGAAATTAAATTGGTCTGTAAGAAATGAGACAATAAATAGTTAACTCGCACGCGATTTAATAAATCATATATATATTTCTGCAAATTACATTTTCAATAATCTAGATTGCAGGCGAGTTGACACGAAAAATAGCACCGTGTATCACAGCCTTTATTTGAAAAGCTAATTAATATATAATATATAATAATGATTTTACAATTTTTAATAATTATATTTATATTGTATTTTTATTTTGTAGTATCAGAATAAAAAAATTTGCTCTTTTTGTTTTGATTGGTCAATTAAATTTTATTCTATCTATCAAGTATGGTTTTGGAACGCCTTGTTTATTTAAAACAATTTCCGTGGCTGCGTTCCGTAACTTACTGGCAGTACTGCCAACATGATGTCATTATAGTGTGCTATGCAAGCGTTCCATTTTTACTAGTTCACTATCGCTGTATTGTGAAATTGATGGAAACGGATTGAACAGTACTGCGTACGCTGTCATATAATAATATAATATAAGAAAATGGAAAAAGTTTTTATAATTAATAATATTGCACATATAATGGAATCAAATAGTGATGAATCTGATAGTAACTCTGATGTAATAGAAAAAATGTTAATAATATTAAAGAAAAGTAGAAATTCAAATTCTATACCTAAAATACGTTATAGAAGATATAGTATCTCGATATACAAACAAAGAATTTAAAACTCACTTTCGATATATTTTTATAATCTTTTATTCTTTGTAGATACGATAAACTGTTTCTGTAATTTTACTAAAATATATATTTAATATATATTTATTTTAGATTACATCGGAATATATTTTTTTTTATATTGGAATTAATAGGGTCATTTTAGAAAGGGATGAAAAATCAGATAGATGCACGATCTCTCTGAAAAAGCAAATTAAAGCAATAATTTCGTATAAAATAATGTTTATACAAACTTGGTGTAGCGCGAATAATCGAATCCGCTATAATATAAATATCAAACTTTATTTTTATCTCTTATACTTTTTGTGCGTTTTCTTTATTTATTATTATTTTATATTAAATATTTGTTTCTGCATCGAGTAGGGTTAACTCTTTTTTCTTGAAAGTCGCCATTTTGTATTGTGACTGCTGCATCTTTTTAGCTACAATAACCGCAGCAGGAAGTGACGACAAAATTTATGACGTCATTATTCTATCGTAGCGCTATCGCAGCACACTGGAATGAATTTCGGAACGGCGTTACAGTATTGCCAGTGCTGATAATGAATTACGGAACGTAGTTTGTATTGTAAAACGTTGCAAAGTGCAGTAAACAACAATTGAAAAAGTATCACTTTTTGAAATAGGTTAAATTTGTATCATGTATTATCATATATAAATGAAGAATATTTGTTGAATTTCGATGCTTTTGCCATAATCCATATATTTTCCATTTTTCATTACACGAGTTAAAGGTACTATTTCTCCATCCGGAGATAAAATATAACCTCAAAATATACACTTTTTAATTAATTTTCTTCTCTTTCTTCGTCTTATCTTAAAGAGTCCTCCGTTTGCATTACTTGTTTTATCGAAGATGAATTCTCATGGAAAAGCAGAGACTGACCGACTTAAAAAAATTTGGAAGAGCAACTGGATCGTCTTGTGCAGCAGCTAGAAGATTTGGAAGATTGCAGGTTTCCTTTCATTTTATTATTTTTTTTAGAAATGTCAAGTCCGCTTAAATTTTTCAAATATTTTATATTTATATTTATATATATATTTATATATATTTATATTTATATATATTTATATATAGATTTATACTAATTACTTTATTAACAGAGTTACCTTCGATGAGACAGATTATCAGGAATGTAAGGAAGATACTATGGAGCAACTCCGTGAGTTTAATGAAAGCCTACAAAGAATGATATCTGGAAATATGACCTTGATTGATGAACTTGGAGCAATGCAATTGGTATATATACATCCTATATTTTGCCTACTTAAATGTTTCACAATAATCTGATATTTCTGATTAATCAATTATAAATTTTCAACAGGCGACTCAAGCCGCTATCAGTGCAGCCTTTCAAACACCAGCTGTAATAAGAATGTTTGGGAAGCGAGAACCCACTGGACTTAAAGAGCGTCTTTCGCAAATTGATCGTGACGCAAAATTAGGAAAACTAAATAAAGAAATCGCTGATCGCCAACGAGGAGAAATACTAAGCGCTTTAAAGCAACTCGGAGAAAAGTTGGAACCATCTGAATTACAATTATTAGAGCGATTATCTTTAAATAATATAGATACTACTAGATATGTGCAAGTTACTGAAACAGCAGAAAAGAGTAAAATAGCTTTAGACATAGTCGGCAAGGAAGTTAAAGCTTCTCAAGATACTTAAACTGATTATTAATGATTTTATTATAACCAAAATATCTCTTATCATTGTTTTTAAAGTTTTCATAAAGAGCTTTCTTATCGAATGACGAGATTTGTATGTTACGTATAATCCTTATGCTAAAGTTTTTACATACATATCCTTTTTTTAAGTTTTCATAAAATTTAAAGTTTTGATATTAAAGCAAATATCTTCTCTATTCTTATCAATTAAAATATATGAGAAAAATGATTACGCAATTGAAAATTTCATTTTCTATCTTATTCTTTCTAATGCAGCTGCAACATAATATTACAATTGTTATTTGTAATGTAAACAAATAATTCTCTATCATATAAGTTTTAAATATGCAAGTATAATTAAATAATATAAGAAACATTTATATATAATTTTTATGCCTTTTATTTATTTATAAACATGAATTATTTTATGTTAAGAGAAGTATTTACTGTGTAACAACTACATCAAATTAGATTTTATAATATATGTTAATGTATTAGATACAAAACATCCATGATAAAGCTTGTATATTGTTCACAAAATTATTACATAAACCATGAAATAGATTGATGTTTGATGTGACTTACCGTTTTCATTTAAGGAAATTCATCATATTTCATCTGATAAGGATTAAAATAAAAATCATAAAGAGATACAAATATGATAAATAATTGATAATCGACTGGATAACAATATACATTTGTTCACATTATGTTGATGTACATATAAGATTTCATGTAGCAATGTTAAAAATCTCATTAATTAATATTATATATGGAAACAAAAACTTACATCTATGAAAATAATAATTCAAAAAGATTAACAAATTTATATGTATCGTATGAATTATTTTCGCACGTATATTATAATCGCTATTTCTTCCCAACAATTGCTGCGTAAATATATAAATATTGATAAGTATAAAACTATAATTATTTAAAAATTATTTTCTTATTGTATGATACACAAGTAAAAATAGTCTTTTAATATTAAGATCCATGTGTATATTCAACAATTCTTCCAAAAGAGGAAGTTTATAAAGGCATATCGAATTGGTGTCAAGAATATATTAATGTGCTTTTACAGATCATATGAATATATATGCACACATACAGTTTCTTCCAAATATATTTTTATGTAATTATTTTGTCGGAGACTTCAATTAATTTTAAATTGAGTTTTATTATTTACTTTTTTAAACAAGATTATTTCGTAAAATTTTGTAAAATTTTACATTTCCAAGTTTTGCTTGTAACATGTTATATTTTTGATAAACAATAAAATAAGCGATATTTTGTTTAGTTTCATCTCTAATAATCTTAGTATTTCTGGATTAACTATATGCATACACATATATACATTTGTATATGTACATATCTATATATATATATATATATATATATATA